AATTATGATCCGCTTGATGCACTAACAAGATCTAAAATAATAACAAATAGCTCTCGTATCGGTTTTCGATTAGCGCACGATTGCCGGTAGAAAAGTGGTTTATAGACACGAATAATTTTGAATTAAAAAGAAAAATAAACACACATCGTGATGGTACTAAGACTCGTTGCAGACTCGTCGAATATCGTAGGTAAAAATGTTTTTTGTTATTCATCATCATTAAGGGTCGGTGTTGATTCAGTTACCTACGCAAAAATAACACGGACTGTATATTCGAAATACAGTACCGTCACGTTTGAAGCGTCGCTATCGACTTATTTTGACGTTATCCACCTTCTGATTTGCAAGCCCCGCGGACGCCTCTCAGCTCCTAAGTAATTAAGTCTTTTCAACGTTTTTTTTATCCTCCACACCCTCTGTCTGATCACTATATTTACACGATCCACACAGCGGTACTCATCTCTTTTGGCTACTCTCCGTCTATTTTATCTGTTCTTGGCGTTGCCCGTCGAAAATACGTAAATGTCAAAATAACGGTTATTGAATATTATATTTTCGTTATTCGCTCGAAAAACACACCGATTAGTGAAAATTACATCAAACTCAAAAGTTGTAATGTTCGTACCTGTACGCGCTTTGTATTATATAAACGAGCTTTTCTTGTTTTTCCTGTCTACGTTAATAACGAATACTAAAAAAAAAAAAAAAAAAAAAAAAAAAAAACAAACGGCTTTTCATCCTTCCGCGGAACAATAACTGAACTATCGACGTGTTGATCGCTGTCTAGGATCTTCGTATAGCAAAACAATATTACATTCTATTACCAGCTATGATTACGCACGATGCGTGAAGTTTGTCGCCTTTGACACGCTTCAGTCCTGTGCTTTAATACGGAATACAATTAATTTCGCTAAACAATCGTTTCCGAAAAGCTCCTATACTGGTAGGTGCTATCGTCGCTATCGTATTTTAAAACGCAGTTTCCCTTTTTACGATCGGTCCGCATATTAGATCGATGCGCGTACCGGCGATGTATTCAATATTGGTGGAATTATTTTCAGCGATCGGTACCGATGTGTAAATATTATGTTTTTTTACTTACAATTTATGCAAATGGGTAAAAAAAAAAAAATAAAAAAAAACCCTATCGTAATATATTAAAATAAACTCGGTTTAAAGTTTGTTAAAAAACTGTTGTGTATACGTGAAAACTCCGTTATATCTCCGTACGTGCAATATAATATACAGGACAGGTAGTTTGACGTATTGCGAACAAAATATTTTGCAATAACTGGATTTTTTTTTTTTTCATTTTAATTTAAATTCCGCGTTTCGCATCCTGCCCTGATGTTGCGATACAATGTTACGGTATTTGTACGCCTATATATAAAAAAAAAAAAAAAAACAGAGTTAAATAACAATACGAAATTTGTTAAAAACAAAAGCTTTTTTTTTCTTCACCCATGTAGAATATTAATGCAGTTGATAAAAAAAAAAAAAAAGTCAATCGAACTGGTGGATACGCTTTTAAATAGGTACGAAAAAAAAAAAATACTGCATAATGGGTGGACATTATTCATTGGTATGAAAAAAAAAAAAAAAAATACATATATGGTTTAATTTTATATTTAAAAGAAAAAGTTTTTTTTTTATCATTTTTTTAAGTGTGTGTATTTTCGAAACAACAACTGTACATTATATATATTATAACAACGGACATGGCGCAACGAAAAAAGCGTAAATTATAATAATCGAAAAAGAGAAGAATAAAAAGACGTACTAGGATAACGGACATGGGTTCAGCCACTGTTATATGTAATTCAATGTATACCTGTAGGCAACGATGAACCATCGCTAACGAAAAAACAGATTCTGAGCGCAGTTCGGTTGATAGTGATGCTTTGTTCACAACATAAAGTCATAGTATGTTAAATAATTAAATTAACATTGAATATTGTCTTTAATTATATTTGTTTAATATTGTACCGATTTTCTCGTTTTTCCTGCGTTTTCCCCGGTTTTCCCGTGTTTTTTCCCGGTTTTTCACATTTGCTGCGAAAACTCTTGGGAAAATGGAAAAATAATCTCCTTAAAGTACTTTTCTAGTCAGATTTCCTTTTAGAAAAAGTGATGTCATCGTATATCGGAGCAAAATTGAAGGTAGAAAAGTTGTTCACAGAGAAAATGATGGCTGAAATATTTTATAACTAATACTTTCATTTCGTATATTTTCCTGTTTTTCCTCCGTTATTTTTTTCGTTTTTTCACGTTTATTGAGAAAAATCTTGGGAAAATCGAAAAAACACCTGCTTAAATTACCATGGAAATGAGATTACCTTTCAGAAAATAAGCTACACTTATATATCGGAGCAAGATTTCTGGTAGAAAAGTTTACACAGCGAATCGAGGGGTATTTGTCGATTAGAATAGCCCGAGCGAGGGATAGCTGAATCTCTAGAGTCTAAGTACACCTAAAATGCATTTTTTTTTCTCTGTTTAGATAAAAGGGATAAAATAAATGTAAAAATTATTTTACGAAACACGGGGTTTGAACTTCGGAACCCTAGAATGAAACTTGTTATGTGTAACCATTCAGCAAAAAAATCACGCTATAAATTTGACAACATATAATATCCGCAGAATACCAGAACTTCAAAAAGCTTTAATTTTAAAACTAACTCCGTCCGCTCAATTCATCACCGTCACATAAATCGGCAATATCATATGTTGAAAAAAAAAAATTGAAAAATTAGATTTGTTTCAAATTTTTTTTCAAACGATTTTCGTAAAAATTCCTTTAAAAAAAAAAATACTACCACAAACTCAATTTTTTTTCCTCCCCGTTTTTCTTAAGTTTTATCCTGGTTTTTCTTAGATATTATGGAAACCATTCGGAAAATCAAAAAAATTACCTTTCAAAAGATCCGTCTGGACAACATTCCCCCTTTCAAAAATGGTGCCTCGCGTATATACCTGAGCAAGGTTTTCGGTGGAATTCTCGTACAAATTACCAAAAAAAAATAACAAAAAACTTAGTAAAACCAATCTATTCTTCGCTGCACTCGGAATCTAAAATAGACCGATATCGCGAAAAAAAAAAAAAAAAAAAAAAAAATCATAAAACAATAATACACCTTCTTTTATGTTTGGCCGTTTTTCACGGTATAACGCATACGGCGAGTATGTTATGATAGCTGAAAATACCGCCTCCGGTTGACTCGGGTGTAATTCGAATTTGAATGTAATGCAAGCGATGCATATCTAAACAATAATATCGTGTGGCGTGATGATATACAATATGCATTGTAAAGTGCACGTTACGTACGATTCGAATAAAAATGTGACGTTTTAATAATAATAACAATAAAAAAAAATGCGCCGAATATTTTTAGTATCATATTATTGCACGGTCGTTGAAAACACGAATTTTCGCGTTGGCCGTTCGTCGTTTCGTCGATTTCGCCATCCCGTCACGAGAACACAATCGTTTTCGAACGTTTCCTTATGGCGGTCGAAAGCGATCGGTTTATTTCCACGCACTAACAATGTTTACACCGACGAAACCGGAATAAATTTAACGTACTTCCGGCAGTCCAATTTCTGTTCTGGAAAATAATTGTACATTCTGCAGTATACTTCTCTCGTATTGTTTTCCGCGAAACATATTTTGAGTTTTTATTTTTTACGCAGTAATTTTGAGTACCTACGAGTTTATTTCGAGAAAATAAGATAAACTCGCCCAGTGTACTTTAATTAAATAATAATAAACTAAATAGAACACCCGACAAAACGTTTCCTACAGTACACAGAAATAGTATAGATTTGTACGGCGCAGTAAAACGCCACACGAAATCGATAAATTCGGCCTCTCTGGTCTGGCTAATTTTTTATTTTTTTATTTTTCGTTGCGAATTTGAAGTCAAATAAACACGTTGTGTGATTATTAATAAACATTTTTGTCTATAATACTTCAACGATTAGACGAATTTTTAGTAAAAATTTTAATTTAGCCATTATTCAAAACGCGTTAATTTATTGTCGACCACGCGATCATTCTTGAGTTTATTCCACATAAGGAGAAAGAAATAAGAAAGATGAAAACAAAAATAACGGGAGAGATGATTGAATTAGAACAGCAAATAATGTGTTAAAAAAAGAACTATGGGAAATATTTACCATGAGAGTTTTTATCGGTCGTAAAAAGCAATCATTTAATGACACTTCGTTTAGTACAGATTTCAATACACATGAAAACAACTTCGTCATCAAATCAATTATCGATTCATCGGGCACCGATAAATGGAAAATTTGTAACCTCACTCTAAGGCACGAGGTTTACGTAGATCCGATCGGAGAGGATGTCTCTACATAGTCCTCTGACTATGACGTTGACTACGATATACGATGTGTTGAGATTAGTGAAAATGCGTTTATTAAATTAATAGGTACATGTATAAGTACGAAAACTGTGTAGGTACACGAACGCGAATCATTTGACGTTGGATTGTTGAACGATATCGGTCATCAGTCTCGTTGTGGCAGTTGGTACGAGTGTCAAGATGCTGTATTAGTTTACCAATATAATGCAATTACCCCCAAAAATCTTTTAGATCGAGAATTTATGCAAAACTTTGGACCGAAGACCATATATCGGCCGCAAAATTCAAAAACCTCTTACAGATTTACACGAAACAAATGAGGATACAATTGTTACTATCGATAAATCAATGAATAAAGTAGAAAGTATTAAACGCATTTTGGAATATTTTTCATCTCGAGAAAAATATTTTTTTTTCAACACTATTATGCATCATTTATTACACGACACTGTGATACGGTATTCGTACAGAAGTGTACAGAGAAACGGTAATTTAAATTTGGTAATAGTCGACTTTTGATCATCATACATAAAGCATCGGTTGATCATCAGCCGTTACTCGACACGGTCGTGTTATTAGTGAAATAATAATAACATTTTTATTTTTTTTTTTGTTTTAATTATGAATTTATCAAAATACTCGAACGATTTTCCGAATTTATTATACGTCATTCGCAATAGTCAAAATCCAAAACCTCCAGAACTAACTACATTTGAATTAAGACTCAAAACGTTCGATTCATTCACTCAGAAGTTTCTAAACAAAATGTCAATGTGCGTAGCTGGTTACAAATTCCTACGTGCTGGAGACCGTGTTCATTGTTTTAATTGCGGACTAATTCTTCATGAGTGGGCAATCACGGACGATCCTCGGAAAGAATATGCATTTCATTCACCGACATGCCCGTTCGTACTACGTAAAAAAGGCGACCAGCTCGTAGAATCTGCTATCCGTGAAAACAAAAACGTCGTATGCGACTGCGGTTTTAGCCATAAAGGTTGTGATACCGGCGATTAATTTGTAACTTTATAATTATTTAATAAATTGTATTGTTTAAATACATTTTTATAGTGTTTTTATTTCATGGGACATGACGGCTTAATGGGTTAATGCGGCTGATTTACCAAACTCACTATAATAGGTTTCATTCGTAGTTAGAGTGGGAAAGGTTAATCTATATGTATTTGAAAAAATAAAATTGTCCATGTAGAAGATTTAATTTGTATCTGTACGGTAAGTATGCCATCATTCACATATGGTTTTTAGATATACATTATAAACAGGTTTTTACACTAGCACAGGTCGCAACGTGTGTAAGACTTTAAGACTTTATAAACCAATACAATTTCGGTAAATAGCATAATTGACGTTAGTACTACAGTAGTACATTATCAAATCATAACAGCTGCAATAGTGAACAAGTCGTTTGTTCAGCCTTCTAATAAAAAAAAAAAAAATGTAACCGTCGATTTTGTCAATTGATAAACAAATCACAATTGTTATTTTCACGGATGCATTTCAAGTAAACGAACATTTCATTTGGATTTAATCAAACGGCAAAATTTTCTCTCGACGAAGATCAATTTAATAAAACGCTAAGCCAAACGTATACAGACACAAAACGGGTTATAATACGCAAAAACTTTTATTACCCAACCAACTCAAAAAAACGAAACAATAACCTTACAAGCAGATGCGGATCGTGTTACATTAACTCGTTACGATTTATTGCGGTCAAAAGAATTACCACCTAGCATTGATTCGTATGTTTTTAGAAACCAGAATGAATTAAATTTATATCAAACGTGTTTCGATCTTATTTGTTCGTTATTAAAACGAGATATTCAAGATTTGCTGGAAACTTGTCAATACAGTACATTTGCAGGCACTCATATTCATAATTATAATTATAGTTCAATTGGTCTATGCCGTGAACATAAATGTTTTATACGTTTCCGACAATTTCATCGTGAAAGATTGAGTAATATGACACTTCAAGACTTTGGCACCTTTAACATTGTCTACATTTTTCTTCCCATTTTTAGTGACTACGGGACTACTCAGCTATCGACCGGTACGGTCAAACGCGTAACACTAAAATCGTGTGTTGAAATTATTATAGGCAAATGTAATTATTAGTGTAGTGTGTCCTCGACTGTTCAAAATATTGTCTATATGTTATGAATATATTTCCAAGATTTATCGTAACATGTATTAAATTATTTGCTGTCGTGTTATTCTTCGCGTTACAGTCGCCGTATAAACGGATTTAGAATGTGTTTTTTGATATTGTATAGGTATTATAGTGACGCGTTCCCCTATCTCTCGATAAGTTTGAGGGGGCTATCATAAAAGAATCATAAAAGACACTGGAACTATGCCATCCGTGCGCTAACCCATTCGTATCGCAAACATTCGTTCACTGTATCCACACGACCCCCTTTCGAACTATCACGAATATGAGACGAATGTTATACTTTATCACGAATTTTCGTTTAATAAAAACTTTTATGAATGTTAGTTATTTTTTTTATTTTTCAAAAAATAATAACATAAATTCAAAGCATAATATAAACTTATAATTCAGCATTAATTTTTTTTGTTTTTTTTTTTTTTTTTTCATATTCAATGTATTAAATTTTTTTTTTTTTTCAAAATATTATGTAGGTAGGTTTAACATTCAAATATCATAGTAAATAACAACAATACAATAGCTCGGATCGGTTCAGATAATGTTTTTGAAATACTAATATCGTGTACACAAATTAAATATGCATATAATATTTCCTCTGTTTTATAATTTTCGTGCCACAAGTACTGATACCGTTTACACAGATTAAGTACATTAAACATTTTCTCTGTTTTCGTACTTCTGTGATAATAAAATAATAACATTCAACAAATATCGATGTAATAATATATATTTGCGAAATAATAATATGGCATAATATCATGTATAATAAATACAATGGAAATAATTGTTCAATATTTATATTTTATAAGTACTGTCGGGTGTCTCCGGATCGTCGGTAAATCGTTCCGGTCCCACCCGTATCGTCTCGTTTATTTGCGATATAAATTGTCGGTCTTTAGTCCCGTTTTCGTAAGTTTTCACGCTTAGAGTGTATTTTGCTACATTCCATTTAAACGTTTATTAATATAAAATGCATAAACTATATTTTATTATAGCTAAATTTCAAATTACTGCTCGTTGGGCGCGGCCTCTTCCGTATCTTCAGATCGATAGAGGTGAGTCGCCCAATAGCCCGTCGCTTGTTTGCCAACCGGCTTTTTCCAAACATGGTTTTCATCACCATCTTTTATGAATAGTGAATTTTGTTGCGCTTTCCATTGTTTCATCGTAACGGCCTTTTGTAAAATACATTTCACGGAAACTGTCTGTCTGAAATATAAGAATAAAATATTAATATATCTGATGTAATTAAAAATGTATAGTTTTTACTTTTTGCGTAAGTTTGACTGTGTTTTTCTTTTTCGGTCTCTTTTGGCTGTTTTCTTTTTTTATTTTTTTTTTATTTTTTTTTTGTTTCTGTTTATATAACCGATTGGGCGGGTGTCATGTTTGTATTGCTCTGAAACTAATACTAATTATTATTCTAAAAAATACTGAACTATAGCTTACATCGCTGGTGCTGTTTTCAAAATCGGTCTGCTCACTAAACCGATTTGTATGATGGAATAAAAAAATAATTTTTTTTCGCAAAATAAAATGGATTTCAAGTTTACAACCACGAAATACTTTATCTTGAAGGTGGAATACTTAAATGATTTTCGTATCGATACTAACGGACGTTCTATACTACTAGATCCCCATTCACTATACAACCTGTTTTAATATAGTGTATATTTCTAAATAGCGCGAGATCGATTATTCGCGAATTGCTATTGTAGTATAAACAATAATAGGTATTCGAAATAATATATTACTAAAAAAAAAATATAAAAATGTAGCCAAATCAGAGAGGCCAAATTCATCGATTTCATGGGGCGTTTTGCTATGGCATAGACCATACAAATCTATACTACTCAAATCGCACAGTTCATGTGTGTTTTAAAAATTAAAAATTGGATGAAATCGGATAGTGGATGAATTTTACTCCGGCTTATTAGTCTCGTTAAAAACGATCGTACCCTTTTCCTTTTAATGGATATGGGGTGATGTAGTTAAGCGGACAAATTGTACTGTTGTTAATATGTGCTCGTTAAAAAGTAAAAAATTTTATAAAATCGGAGAAAATTCGGATAACCACCTACAGAGCGGAAGGGGCAGAGGAGGGAGGCGACATCCATATTAAAAAATTATAGTAAAAATGATATTTCGAACGAATTTTCAGCCACTATTACGAAATTGTGTGTAATTCGTTTTATTTCTGGACGGACAAACACATTTCAGAGGGCGCGTAAAACATGCTCGAAAAGTTTTACGGGACATTTTTATACAAATATAGATAGGTATATGGACGATTATTGAACCCTGATGCTGTTGCAGATGTGACACATCTCTATAATATGCATGCGTGCACTAGAAAAAGTTTGGAACGGAGAGAGGATGGTGGTTGGGTGGAGGTTTTCGCAGATTTTCAGTTTGACGACCCGAGCTTTACTTTTCAAATGTGACAAGAAACGCGTTTGTATTTTGATTTTCGAGATCAACTCGGAATCGTTTATCGAACCGGCAGCATTATCTTCTAAAATTGACATGCCTACAGAACGTAATTTCGCAGGTGGGTAACTCCGCGCTCCATTATCTAGATTTTTTTTTTTTACCATTAATTGTACTGTACAAAACCGATTTGTACCAAAATATTTGTCGATGAAAAATATTTTTATCCGTGAGGTGCCAGGGTCACGTTACCCCAGCATCGCCGTGCCGTAACTTAAAAAATGGTTTTTTTTTAATTTTATTTTCGCATCCAAAATACAACGAAACAGTATTTGAAACGGCGGGATATCCACGCGAGGCCAACGAATTCAAACCGCACGGAGTTGAAAACATAATATTATGTTTTTTTTTTTTTTTTTTTAGGGCTTATGCCCGAATATCGGTATTTGTATTGATGCGATCACGGAGCTCGGATCGGAGAGTCGTCGGAGTGAACGAGAAGACCGAAAATCTTGTCCACGGCATCCGGAAACGAAAAGCTAATCGTTTCGGGGGTATTGAAATTCGGAATTTCGGTTCCAAATATAAGACCGAGCAACACGACTATAATTCACGCTTAGAGCGTCTTCCAGCACGTGTATTTTTGTTATATTTTTCCGACGGCGGGTTTTTCTTTCTCGCGTTCCCGAGATGACGCACGCTCGCTCATCGGCGACGCGTGCAATGAAAGGTTACGTATTTTTTTCCGCAACAACTAAAAATAACGAAATCTTTTTCTTACACCGTACACACTCTATGCACATCGAAACCCACGAAAATATTGATTTTCATTTTGCACGCCATGCACCGCGACACCGTACATGTACAACTACGGTGACATTCGATTGGAACGGCCACATAACTGCGTCACAGCAAGGCCAATAATTGTGTGTCCAGTAACAAACACTATGCACAGTAGCAAATTTAAAAGTGTGCAGTATGTAATTCACCTTTTTTTTTACATTTTTATTTGATTAATATCCAATACTGATTATAGGAAATAATGAAAGTTACTAATTATCATGTATTCATCTAAAATCATTATCACTAATTATAATACCGACTACACCGTCTGGGTGGCGCCGATAACCACATATGTTGTCTGGTTTGTCGAAATTCAACCATCAATCAGCAGTTTTATATTGGCTTAAAGGAAAAAATTATATTAAATTATTTAATTATATTAATTATATTATATACAAATTTAATATGTATATTAAATAATGATGTCTATTCTTTTTTTTTTTTTTAGTTCCGAGCGTAGCTATTGGTTATACAATGCTGTTATATTTCTTTTTCTTCTTTTTATCTTTCTTTGTTCTAGTCTGTGGACACGTTTTTTTGTATTAAACTT